TAAACAACCTGTTTCCCTATTTATAATGGTCTGGCCCTCTAGCAACTTCAGCGCGAAATTATAGTTAATTTGCCTACAAACGTCAGGTGGTCATAATAATCTGGCCACCCAGTGTATATATATATCACATATTATTATTCATTCATCTATCATGGACACTTGGGTTGCTTCCATATGTTGGCTATTGTAAATAATGCGGCAGTGAACATAGGGGTGCCTATATCTCTTTGAATTAGTGTTTTTATTTTCTTCGGATGCACCCCTATGTTCACTGCAGCATTATTTACATTAGCCTTTTTATGTTAAATTTAAATATTTACTTTCAAACCTCAACATGGTTCTCATTCTAAGATTGTTATTCTAACTTGTTTATAAATTTTTCTGGTAATGAAAAATGCACTTCCATTCTCTTTACCTAAATCCTTAAAAATTTTAGCAATAATAGGTCTTCCTAAAAGGCAGATCAACATAAAGGAAAGAATAGGGCCTCTGTTCTTTAAAAATTGTTGTTTGAAATCCAAAAGAATTCTTCTTAGACATTTCCTGACTGGCAGCCATTGGTGGAAAGGAGAGAAAAAAAGGATGGGGTTCATAAATACCATGTTAATAATGACAGTTTTGACCCATTTCAATCCTAGGTTCATGAGTCTGTAATAGTAGGCAAGTTATCATACCTTCTCTAGAACCCTTTCTCTTCTCTTGGGAAATGATAATGATGGTACCTACTTCATAGAAAGTTAGGTTTTTATAAGCACATAGTATAGTGATTGGCACATAGAATGTACTCAACAAATGTTAGTTCTCTTCCATTTTCATCTTTTTATTTAAATCATTATCCAAGGATCCCCCCTCCCCCCATTGATTTTTAGAGAGAGTGAAAGGGAGGGAAGAGGAGGAGAGAGAGAAACATTGTTGCGACAGAGACACATCGACTGGTTGTCTCCTGCACATGCCCCAAGGTTCATGCCCTTGCCCGGGAATTGAACCTGCAATCCTTCAGTCTGTGGCCCAATGCTCTAACCACTGAACAGCCCTTCAGGTTCCATTTTCATCTTAATTTCCCTAACTTAATTCTGAAATATTGGTAAATTAGTTCTAAATAACTTTTAAGAAAAGTGCTGACCCCATAAGAATTATGCTTAAAATAGTGAATGTTTGTTGATAGTAACTCATAATAAATGAAAATGTTTTTAACCTTCATCAGATAAATGAGCTAAGTTTTCTTTCTTTGAACATGGGTATGGGTAACTCAGGTACTGTATGACAAGTTCTTTGACTCGTTGAATCTTTTTCATGTTAGGGTGAAAAGGGGACTAAGCAAACATTCTGCTTATTTTTAATACCTACTCTTCTGAGGTCATATTTGACCTTAAATATTTTCCCAAATTGATTTTAGTATACAGGTGTTAGCTCCAAGGCTTTGTTTGTACAGTTAACTACATCAAATTCAGCAAGTTAGTGTGGGTGTGGCAGGGATTTGAGAGATTAGGTGATTTCTAACTTCTGTTAATCAAAATATAACTATATTTTAGAGAATAAAAATAGTAACTATATCACTTGAGTTCATGAAGACTTAGCTGATTTTTAATAATTAATAAGTTTTTTCTGCCAATGAGCATTAAATTACTGCTGACTTTTTAGTGTCATAGTACCTTGTGGTAGTTTTTCTGCAGGGTTTAAAGGTGTATTCCAGTTTTGTTTTATTTTTCCTGTCCTGTCCAGAGGAAATAATCTTTACAAATGATACAAGGAGACTATTTCTAGAAGTCCATACATGCCATTAATATGTTATAAGGATCGGTCAGTCCCATTGTCTTCTTTTGTCAATCTTGATCGGAGCTTGCCGAGTAAGTCTATAAGCCTGCATGTGCCTGGCAACTGTTACCTAGTGACAGTTTCAGCTGCTGTAGCCATTGGCTGTGCTGTTGATTGGGGCAGGAGGACCGAGTCACCTTTCTGATGGTGAGTTCTTCTGCATCAGCTCAGGATGAGGAGGAGGAGCCGGGCTCCAGCTCAGGTGGAGGCAGTGATGCCGAGCGATTGTGAAGAATATCCTGACAGCATCCTGGAAGCTGCATCACAGTGAGTCGGACTTCTGAATCAAGCAGCTCATAACAGTGAATGTATGTGAGGAGCACTGCCTTATTCCTGTAACAAGAGAACTATTTTGTGACAAGTGAAGCTGGGAATGTGCAAGGAGGAATATCCTGTGGCTGTTTTAAAAGAAGAAGGACTTCCCTGCATGACTTGGTGATGCACGAGAAAATAACTTTCAGAAGAGTGCCGCTGCATTGTTCCTGAGGAAGTCTGTGTTTTTAACCTATGGCATTTCTTCAAAAGGTGTGACAACAAAGGCTGACAAGCGACTCTCCGAAATGCCTATACTTTAAAAAAGACTTTTGACAATGTTAACCTTGTATCAGGACGACCTTGGAAGCCTGTTGGGTGGATTCATTCCTGCATTATTCCTTTCATTATTTCAGACTCTAGGATTTAAACTCATCTTGATGTGTTAGAGGTATTTTAAAACAAAATCATTTTACAACCTACCCAATGGCCCCTATGCTAATTGAGTACTTGCTCAAAATAGAATGCAGAAATAGAAGAGACATTTTAAAAAACATATGGCTGCTACATAACTGCAAATATAGCAAACAAGGTAAATTTCTACTTTCAGAAGATTTAGTTGAAGTGTCTTTATTGTGTTAATCATCTAATGAAAATAGAAAAGGCAGAGAAGTATAGATTATGCTGTCTACTAGAAATACCTAAGTAGTAAATAATGGCAGCATTTCTAGTCAGATAAGCTCAGAGTAGATAGGAAAGTTTCCATTATTGTCTAAATTTCATGTAAATTCACAGATATATTTGAGACATAGGTGTGGTTGCAAGGTGAGCAATAACTTTGAGCTGTATATTTTATGGTCATGCTTCATTTTAAGGAAGGTGGCATATCAGACAATGAAAGTTAATGATGCTGAAATTAATAGCAAAATGATGTATTTTTCTTTTGAAAAGGAAGAAGTATAAATTACATTGTTGATGGTAGCACCAGTAACTGTAGTATACTAAAACTGTTTTTTTTTTTCTGAGCACTTAAAAAATGCATGCAGAATGAAAAGTTTGTCATATTTTGTCAGGTGTTAACCCATTACCTATTATCTTCCTACTGGAAATATGTATTGTTTTGTTTTTCGCATGAAAGCTATATGGCAATCTGGAGTCTGTTACCTCTGTTCTACTCCTTTGTGCCCAAATACAGATGAGTCTTTTGGAATTAGCCTTTTCCAGAAAGGGGGTAGTGGTGGCAGTTCTTAGCTTCTTAAAGAAATGAGAGAGAAATGGATCATAAAGTTGACCCACCAGCATCAAACCCTCAAATGAGCCCCAAAACACTCTTTGTTACAATGAACTTTTTCTTAGCTTTCCAGCCAAATCTGAGATCTTAATTATTTAAATTCTAAAATATGAATCCACTTCTTATGTTAGATGAAACAGGAAGCCTGAGACAATTTCAGACTTTTTCTTTTCTCATTCTTTCTAGTTGATCCTTAAGAAACAGCCTTTCTGAGGAGGACAAACAACCCACAGAAGCTTTTCTTCTCTTGGCAATTGCTTTTTTTCTTTTTGCAGCTTTAATTTTTTATTGTGCAAGGTAATAAATCCATTTTCCCTAGAAGTGCCTTGTGTCTGCAAAAAGTTGTTTGAGACCACCAGAGGATGCTAATGGTGACCTTTCCCCACCTCCGCTGTAGCTTATTCTCCTCCCTCTCCCCTTAAAACTGAGGTGTGTCACTGCTCACTGAGGCTGATGAAGAGACTTGAGTCCTTTCTGGGATGCTCAGCTGTGACAGAAGCACTGCCACCGTCTCCCGAAGCTGATTCTGAGACTCTCAGGTGCAGAGTTTAACAGATGCTGGCAGGGCACCGGCTTGCTGTAGCCCAGGCTGCAGGTTCCCTCAATTCCAAGCCATGAACGAATCCAGGTGGACTGAATGGAGGATCCTAAACCTGAGCAGTGGCCCTGTGAATGTGTCTGAGCGTCACTCCTGCCCACTAGGATTTGGCCACTACAGTGCAGTGGACATCTGCGTCTTTGAGACCGTTGTTATTGTCCTGCTGACATTTCTGATCATTGCTGGGAATTTAACAGTCATCTTTGTCTTTCACTGTGCTCCACTCTTACACCATTATACCACCAGCTACTTCATCCAGACGATGGCATATGCTGATCTTTTCGTTGGAGTTAGCTGCTTGGTTCCTACTCTCTCACTTCTCCACTACTCCACAGGTATCCACGAGTCACTGACTTGCCAGGTTTTTGGATATATTATCTCTGTTCTCAAAAGTGTTTCTATGGCATGTCTTGCTTGCATAAGTGTGGATCGTTATCTTGCAATCACCAAGCCTCTCTCCTACAATCAACTGGTCACCCCTTGTCGGCTGAGAATTTGCATTATTTTAATCTGGATCTACTCCTGCCTAATTTTCTTGCCTTCTTTCTTTGGCTGGGGGAAACCTGGTTACCACGGTGACATTTTTGAATGGTGTGCCACCTCTTGGCTCACCAGTGCCTATTTTACAGGCTTTATTGTTTGTTTACTTTATGCTCCTGCTGCCTTTGTTGTCTGCTTCACTTACTTCCACATTTTCAAAATTTGCCGGCAGCACACCAAAGAGATACATGACCGGAGGGCCCGGTTCCCGAGCAATGAGGTGGATGCCTCTGGAGAGACTGGACACAGCCCCGACCGTCGCTATGCCATGGTCCTGTTTCGGATAACCAGCGTATTTTACATGCTGTGGCTCCCCTATATTATTTACTTTCTTTTGGAAAGCTCCCGGGTCTTAGACAATCCAACACTGTCCTTCCTAACAACCTGGCTTGCTATAAGTAATAGTTTTTGTAACTGTGTAATATACAGCCTTTCCAACAGTGTTTTCCGGCTAGGCCTCCGAAGGCTTTCCGAGACAATGTGCACGTCTTGTATGTGTCTGAAGGAGCAGGACACAAGAGACCCCAAGCCCAGGAAACGGGCCAATTCCTGCTCCATTTGAAGAGAACTGCCCAGTAAATCAAGTGTAATGGATAGTGGTTTGTGTTCATAGTCTTGATTCATCTGGAAATTTGCCACTAGAGAAATATTTACTTGAATAGTAATATGAGATGAAGGGACTAAAGGTTTCATTTTTTTCTCTTTTTTCATGGAGGAAAAAACTAAAGGAAAGGATGTATAGAGAGTAATCTCATGAGATAAATATAGCATGTGAGTGTCAATGTGCAGTAGTGGGAAAAATTAAGCACTGAGGATGACAAAAGTAAGTCAGATATTCCACAGGATGCGAGCCAAGCCCCTCGGTGTCTTTCTCTCTGATTGAACTCTGTCCTCTGTCTTTGTCTCTGATTCTTGTCTCTTTACTCTCATTGTGTTTGTGGAAATTACTTGCATCAATTTTCCTCTATAGAAAATTGCTACATATTATATATGTGGCAAAGTATAATCTTTGGCATCAAAGTGTACTTTTAAACACACTGATCTGAAATCCGTAAGTGGTCTCTCATGGATGTATAGTAAGCATTGTATGTTAGTACCTGCCACACAACCCTTTTGCTTGTGTTTTTATAATCTCCACAGCACACATTTTCTGCCATGAGCAAAAAGAAACAGTATTTTTCTTTCATCAGGGTAAAATGATGCTCCCCTCCCCTGTATTCCTGCTGTATTTCCCTTTATCTGCATCCTTTGGTACCTTAATTCAGAAGTGTCTTAGCTAATGAAAGAATCTACTACATAGAGCAATCAAAATGTTAAATAATTTATTCCTTCCAACAAAGCAATCGATAACCAGTATGAGATATTATGTTAAATCTTTTTAATGGTTTTTAGAAACATTTTTTCTGATTTCTTTTAAATTCTTTCACATTCCCAAAGTGGTGTCCCTTTTGCTATATAGTAAAGCTTTGTTTTCCTTTAATACAATCAACAAATAATTCTAATGCAGATGGTGAGTACTCACCCGGAAGTGAGGCATTGCTCTTAAAGCTACTTGGTGTGTCTTTTTTTATTTTTAAGACTAAAATATTGACCTTTTTGTGTTAGGTTTACAAAACTTACTGTTCTGTCCACCAATCATTTGTGTAATATGCGTTTGCACATAGTATATTTTTTACAACAAAGAAAATGTAAATGACATTATGTGATCTGTGCCTAATGTTTTCTTAGCACAATATATAGATCAATGTTGCTTAAGTCACCAACATAGGGAAAAAATATACAAAAACTTATTTTAGTGAAAAAATACTTTTGTGTAGCTGTTATTTAGATATTTATATTAGACCAAGCTGTATTCTTAGTGCTGCTGAGAATATAATATACTTAATTATGAAGTACAGGTGACAGCTTTCAGTATTTTCTTTTGTAATGATCTGTTTTCATATTCAGAGTTTAAATTAGCTTATTTTTTAGTGTGCTACATGGAATTGTGTAATAAATTGTCAGGGGTTTAGATGTAGCAAAATGGCATTTGGGAATTAGTAGTGAAGCAGGCCTGAGTGGTAAAACATCTAAATCTTACTTTTTTTTTTACCATAATTTTCCTGCCTGATAGATATTTTAAATTTTATATCAAACTACTACTGAGTATTTTTCTTCTCAGCATTTTTGATTTGTTTGTTTTATGAAATGCATTAATGAATGTGCCTATGGAAGCCAACCATGTTGCACACTGGTGGTTTGACTTCATAGGCCCTTTAGTGGAAATGTCATCATTCTATTGAGGTTGTTCTGAAACCCTGTATATTTTTTAAAATGTAAGAAAGGTTTAAAATAAATAATAAAATAGTATTCTATATATCAAAATCAGACTTTGCTCCAGTTTAATAAAATACTTAACTTGGAACAAGAGTTTACTTGTTTGGGATCAAAATTTAACTGTTTTATATTTCTGTGGTTTGGGTTGCTTACATTAATTCTTGTCCCCAGTTTGCAATTGGCATCTTGGAAAAGTTGAAATGCGCATTTTAAGTTTAGATCAGTTCAATGAAACATGATACTATAACTTTTCAGTGGTCATAAATAGGACCTTCAACATGTATTATTTGAGAACAAACACATTTTGATTCCTTAAGTTTGGAGTGTACATATAGTTAGAAAAGACTCAGTAGATGACCTGTATAGGAACCATGAGGTCATGTTTATTATATTTTCCTCTTCTAGCTTTTTCTCATAATAATTCTAACAACAGTTATGCGCCAGGCACCGTGTTAAGTTTTACATGTGACATTTAATCCTACTATGACTCTTTGAGATAGCTACTGTTATTCCCATTATAGAGAGGAGGAAACTAGAGAAAAGTGACTTATCCAAGGTCACTCAATAAAGTCAGTGTCAGAAGTTCAGTAACACCCAGTTGTCCTGGAGCCAAAGCCTGCACACTTAACCACTATACATACTCCCTCCACCTCCACCCCCACTCCCCCCAAAAAACGCTTTCAAACCTTTGTACCTCTTTTCATACAAAAGTTCTCTTTCTTTTTTTCTCACCTAAATCTTTTGCTTCACTTCTTTTTCTGTTCTGGTGATATCTTTTTCCTTGATCTTACAAATCTCTTTGATGAAAACAGCAATCTTAATAAGCCCAAACTTGCCAGGTTAGTCTATAATCTGTAGTCTATAATCAAACTATTTTTTAAAATAGTAAAAGTGAAACTCCAGGCATGGCATTTCCTTGACATTACTTTTGTTTATTTTTGTTAAGTTTTCCTTGAATAGCTTTTTAAAATCTCTATAAATTTCTTATTGAAAGAGAATTTTTTTGAAGAAGAGTAGAAATGGAAGTCTTTATTGTAGCCTGAAAGGGGAGCCACTATGAGGCAAGTTTTAGGTTTAGAATCTCTATTTATTGTAATGTTTCCTGTGTAACTCTAGGGTAAGCCACTTAACTTTCTTTTGACATACTTTAATATGTGTATAATTATAGAATAAGGTAATACTTATTTTGAAACAACTCTGTCTTTTTCAGAATAATGCATTTTAAGAACAGGAAGCATAGCCGTTATTCTCATCATTATATAGTGTTCTGTGATCATTATCCAATTTGGTCATAAATGACAGAATATATAATTTATTATGTGAGTGTAGACATAAATGACGTTGTTGTGTTAAAGGACTGTGCTCTGTCTCTCCCCACCCTGAAAACTAATTATATATATATAACAAGTATGTGATAAACAAGTAAAGAAGAACAAGATGTGGAGAAGTGCTATGTAACATGCTGAGCATAGCATCACTTGTGTTCAGGTAGAAGCACCGGCAGTGCACGGGAGCCTATGTTACTGTGGATGCTCTATTTTGATGTTTTAGGTTCCAACAGTTGACCTTTTCTCTGAGCAAAACTATTGTAAGATTAAGGTTATGTAGAAAGTGGCATATTCTACAGACAAGTATATAGACATCGGGGAAAACAAAATGACCAGTGTTTCTTGTAAATGAAAGTTTTATCCAGTGCTAGTTTTGCTCTATAATTTAAAATATTCATAACTTTTTAAAAATAGTAAAAGTGGGCATCTTTTAAAATATTAAGTGATGTGATTAGGTATTTCTTTATTAATATTTTATTTGCAATTTATTTTTACAATGAGCATTTACTTTTTTAATAATTAGGAAGAGAAAATAGTTTTAATAAAAATAATGCTGTCTATTTAAAAAATATTTTGACATTTCACTAAACAGTTTTTGTTCTTTCTGTAAGTAACATTATATAGTTTTGTCTTAAAACTATTTTGCTTTGATGATAGTTTATATGATTTTCATAATATTTGTTATTTTAGATAGTTTTTCAGAGAAATTTGATGACCTTCTACTTGTGATATTAGATGTTCTTATTTTTGCTTCAACACAATTGGTTTGAAGTGTTATTTGCTGAATTTGAAATGGATATCAATCACTGTAAGGTTTTTTTATGCACCACTGATGACACCTTCTAGCATTTTTTCCCACATCTTTAACAAAAGTCTGACCCTGCATTTCATAGATTGGCAGGATTCTATTTTCAGTCCCCCCATCTAAAAAGGTCATATCTATAACTTTTTAATGGTAATTTTATTCTATTCTTATATATGTTTAGAGGCCCAGTGCACAAATTTGTGCACATTGAAAGGAAATTAATTAGAAGGTGGCTGGAGGGGCGGGACTGGGCAAGTCCGGCCAGACATGCCCTGGAGCCAACCTCCCACGGTCCCTCTATAGCTAGCTGCACCTGGTGTAGCCAGGGCTCGAAGGGCATCTGCAGAGTGAGCGGGGTCCCTCTGGCAGGTGGGGTCCCTCGGCCTGGCCTGCAGGGACCAGGCCAAAACCGGCAGTCCAACATCCCCCAAGGGGTCCCAAATTGTGAGAGGGCGCAGACCAGGCCTTGGGACCCACCGGTGCATTTGTGCTCTGGGCCTCTAGTATGCATATAAGACTTTTGGTTAATCTCTTCCCTCCCTCCCTCCTCCCCTCTTCCCTCTGAGATTCATTAGTCTGTTCCATGTTTCCATGCCTGTGGTTTCCACTCCTGTGTTGAGCGTCTGCTCCCTGGTGGTCAGTGCGCGTCATAGCTACCAGCCGGTCAGCCAGTCAGCCGGTCACTTAGGCTTTTACTAGTATATATATATACTAGTAGATTGCCCATGAAGGTGAGAATATCACAGTAATAAATCTAGCAAGTGTCTGGTGTGTCTGATAGATATTAAACATAAAACACATATAGGATATCAGTACCTTCACCATAGTAAATGGGACCATATTAATTTTTGAGATTCTAAAATTTATAGATGATAAATATCAAGAAACATAACACATAGAGTAAAATTTATTGAATGGTAGTATTTGCTAAAATTCTAAAACTTTCCCAAATGCTACTTTATTCAAGAGAAATCACTTTTATCTTTGACTTTAAAAATTTGACTCCAATTTTATTTTATGTTTTCTACTTAAGCAAGTGTAAATATGGTTGATGCCAGTTAAAAGTGCCCGAATAAACTTTATAAATTCAAAGTTGTGGCATTATTTTAGTTGAGAGGCCCCCACAAACACAAAATCAAGTATAAATGTATATAGCCTGATCATTCAAACTCAAAATATAGCCCTGGCCAGTGTGGCTCAGTTGTTTGGGCATTGTCCCATGCACCAAAAGGTTCCTGGTTCGATTCAGGGTCAGGGCACATGCCCAGGTTGTGGGTTTGGTCCCCAATAGGGGGCATCCAGGAGGCAGTGGGTAGATGGTTCTCTCTCACGTTAATGCTTTTCTCTCTTCCTCTCTCTAAAAACCAATAAAATATCTTTAGAAAAAAATGTCAGACTATATCTTTGAACGCAGTGCAGACTGTAGCAAGCGGTGACCAGTGTTTTGTCTGAGGTTATGCTTGTCACAAACCATTGATCACGGATATACTCAGTGTAAAATACAATTTTAAAGCACTGATGTTCATAATAGAGTTTGAAGTTTAAAATAGGTATTATTAGATCATACATGTTATGCTAATAGCCTCTTCACAGTTATTTCATTTACTTTTTTCAGGAATTTTATAATAAAAATGTTAAATTGATATTATAAATGATAGATGTAGAGAAGATTAAAAGATAATTTGTGAAGAAGCCAATAAAAAATTCCTGAAAATACTGGTTTTAAGGTTTTAATAAGTTAAAATATATTTGGAATTTTCTTATATTTATTATTTTAACAAGGAAAAGATGATTCAAAATTGGTTTTTCAGAAATGCTTGCAGTTATGAATTTCAAAGTAGAGCATAGTTCTTTATTTGAAAGGAAAGAAACACTGTATAATGTATATCTAGGTTTTTGTGAAATGTTTTTCTTGCCAAAGGTTAAAGTTTAAAATGAAGTTGTATTAAAAATTGCAAATAGATATACATTCAAATTGCTGCTCTCTTCAAATAGATTTTGAGGAAAAACTCAATATCCCAAAGATTAGTTTATTATCCTACTTCCACCACTCCCAGGCAACTAAAAAAACTTATGTGTCTAAGATCTTAAAACTTTACTGGTCATGGCATGTACGGGGGGCAACTGATGGATGTTTCTCTCTCTCTCTCAAATCAGTAAAAAACATATCCTTGGGTGAGTGATGAGAGAGAGATGTTTCTCTCTCTCTCTCTCAAATCAGTAAAAAACATATTCTTGGGTGAGGATTAAAAAAAGAAGATAGCAAATTATCAGGTTTTTATTAGTTTGACTTCAGATGAAAGATCTCAGAGATTCATTAGGTCTTCCTACCGAGTACTTTTCAGAGTACTCGGTAGACTGGAGGTGTTAAGAGTAAGACCTCAAGGATTTCTTATAGAGATTATTCGAATGTTGATATTGTGTCTATTTCATATATCCACCAACTTGCCCTTTCATGTTAGCACCTTTTAATTTCAGACAACTTTATAAAAGAATGAATTATAGCTAATCACTGTAAACTTATTTCCAAATTCTGCCTCTCCTGATTTCCATCCCTTTTACATAACTAATTTCCCCTTTTTCATCTTCAATCAAGATTCATTTTGTATGTTTTTTAATTTTTAAAGTATTACCCCTTGAGGAAATTTAGGGGTCTAAAGGCATAAAAAAGAAAATTAAATCACCCATTGTTCCATTACTGATATATAATTAGATATAACAACTCTTCAATTTTTTCTTTTTTTTTTCCCCACTATGGACGTGTTTTTTAATTTTTAAAGAAGTATTACCCCTTGAGGAAATTTAGGCGTCTAAAGGCATAAAAAAGAAAATTAAATCATCCATTGTTCCATTACTGATATATAATTAGATATAACAACTCTTCAATTTTTTCTTTTTTTTTTCCCCACTATGGA